GGCACTACAACCCCAGTGGGCCTAGGTCTACATCCATGAACTTCTCCGGAAATGATCTCTACCGCTTCGAAATCTTTACACGCAACTTGCATTAAGTTACGTGACAACCCCTAAATGTGGTTCTTTGTGGTAATATACAGTCCCTTTACGCAAATGCCAGGATAACACCTTAAATTACTGCACGGCCATTTCTTCCAGATCATCTCCAATTCATTATTCACTAATCATCTATCGTACATCGGTATGTAATTTGAGGTATTGAGAGGGACGTTCAGTATACCAAGAATAATTAAACACGTATAACAGACTTCTCTTACATTGACGATGCATTTCGCTCCTCAGAACCGTGGAAGATTTATAAGTATTTACTGTACCAGTCTTCTTCCACACCAACTGCCTTTGTTCATAAACATTGTTATGATGCTCAAAGTCTATTCACGTGATATGTACGGTATCAGCCGTGACAAGCGACAATGACGTGCTAGTCCTCTGGCATTCATCCAGTCCCTAAGAACAGCAGTATATAAGCCTGTCTACGAGAATCTGCTTACCGACAGACAGACATTCCTGTGTCTGGTCATGAAAATCTCAACGACGCAACGTGGGTCGTGGACTCTACCGGGAACTTGGATCATTATTAGCTGGACGGTCCAAATTTACACTGCAATTACTCGTAGTAAGAGGAGGGCCGGCCATTTCCCAATGTACATTAACTTTCACATTTTTCGTTTATGTAAGATTTGAGGTTTTCACGTCGGTAACCATGAAGAATGCCGTCGCCGTGTAGACCTCGTGTGAAACGTCAGTTCATATAAGATCTACACGGCGTCACATCCCAGAAGACGGCGCTCTTCATTTTTCGTTTAATTTGCCCTCTTCATTTCAGCAAGAAAACGACGCGTATACCCCTACACCAAGGTGTGTAAACTACTGCATTCTAGAGACAGAATTTTTCATTGTCGAAGAGCACTGTAGCAGATTCTAGTAGTACAACTACTTCTCACACTCTGTAGGCCACAGCATGATACGCCTAACCACAAAAGGATCTAATACAAGCACGCAGCAAACTTACAATATTTCCACTTCTGTATGTTCAGTGTACTCGATTCTGCCAATATCGCTTTACAAATGCATCGGTCAATGGGTTTTGGGGTCGCAAGGCTTCGATTTGATCATGCAGACTTCCACCGCAGCCACGTCATTGTAAAATTTGTGGTTTACGCGGCGCTCAAAATTCATACTGGGGAATTCTGGGTTATGTACACTGCCTCAGTCTTCAGGGTTTTGGCAGTAGGTTCCTCCGTTGTGTTGGCATCCACCCACAAGACTAAAACACGGCGTCATAACACAGAAGACTTCCATCTTAGGATGTAAAGCATACGGACGTGGAAGAACAAGGAAATTTATTGGATAAGTACAAAATTTTCCTTTTTACATGGAACAACAAACCATGCCCTCACAACACTTAGCGAATTTTTTTTTAATTTTCTGTGTACCGATGCGAATAATATGCGCGAAGACTTCAATGAACCACACACCAAGACAGTTACGATATAAAGAGCTTTCTCAAAGGCATAACTAATCTGTAAATCTTATGTAATGAGATCAGTTTCATTACCGGATTTTTCAAGCACATCTCCACGCAAAAATGAGACCTCAGATGTGTTAAGGTGCTATTGCAGCTACTCAGTACAGCTACATCACGGTTTAACCGCTCCACTTCACTTTGCGAGAGATGCAATCACTATAATGTTCAATGAATGCTGCATCATGGGTTCTGCGAAGGATCAAATCTTACCTGGAACATGTCCGTCTCTTCATCAGGCATGTATTCAACGATGACAGCTTGGTTTCTAGATAATGTATAGGAGATCGAATGCTGTTCAGTGTCGAGTATCGCCTGAAAACAAAGAGAAAAAATAAACCCTAATATTAATTATTTCCTGCTTGAGCCTACAGTTACGAGAGAAATAAACAGCGCTCACTCGAATGATATAAGTAGGGACCGGATTTTAATGCAAATGCATATTTCTTTCTTGCAACCAGAGAGTATGCTCGTTTGGATATATGTATGAATTACTTCATTTCTTAAATTTTGGACATGGTTTGATGGTGCATATAAATGCATATTTTGCTTGCTTTATGAATAAGCATCATATTTTCGAAGATCCCTATTTATACTGCATATTTCCTTTTTAAAATGCCTATCATATATATTTTTTAATTTTATGTTCAAATTTTCAATCATGGTCGTGTGTATACAATTTTTCTTTTCCCTATTGGAATATGTTGCACATTTGACTCAACATTTCGTCATGATTCATGTTTCTGATGCAGTACCCAGGACGGGACTTCCCCGATCCCTCTACTCATAACTTGCCTCATCCGCATACCATCAAAGTGGCCGCGAAGAGATTAGTCGGAAGGGTTCACATGTAGCCACTACCAACGTAATACTATTCAACCGATAAGGGACTTCACTTGTTTATTTCCGAAGTCTCCATGAGGTTCCTTACGCTTCTTCATTTAAAGATGTGGGCCATTCACATTAGTGGTGACTAGTCTGTAGTTAAGTTTGTTTAGTTTCCTGTAGTCATGCCGAAAGCGAAAGTAAGTCAGAAAACTATATTACAGCTGTATCAGCGGGAGCTCGAAGGAGAGATGATAAGTACGGATAACGAAATTCTTTATTGCCGACCGTGTGAGAAAACAGTTGGCTGTGAAAACCGCTTTTAAGTGCTTCAACATTTGAACACTAATATACACAAAGAGAATATTAAAATTTAATCTACGAAAAGTGCTCCTGTTCAAAAATTGCTTAGTAAATTTTCTAATAATAGTTTTTTCAAAGTTTTCCCTTGATTTATGCGAAGCCTTTTTAGCGGCCGATATTTCGCTGTGGAAACTAACCAATCTGCCGGATGAATCTACTGTGCGCAAAAATTACGCGAAGCAGTGTTACGATCTTACAATTGAAAGCATTAGAGATGAGATTCAAGATAATTTTGTGTGGGTATCAATCGACGAAGCACAAGATTGTGAGGGACGGTTTATTGCAAATTCTATAGTTGGATCCCTTAATAAGAATGAACAATGTACCCCATATCTTCTTGCGGTAGAGCAATTTGAAACCACAAATAGCTCCGAAGTTTCCGAATTTTTCATAAATTCCATGAATTTACTATGGCCAGATGGCATTCAGTATGAGCGCGTATTGCTCTTTGTGACTGATGCCACAAGTTATATGATGAAAGCCGGTACTGCTCTTAAAGTTATATTTCCAAATATCACACATTTGACTTGCCTTACCCATGGGTTGCACCGTGTTGCAGAAACAATTCGTGCAAATTTTCCGCTTGTTGACAAGTTTGTGTCTTCTGTGAAGAAGGTATTTGTTAAAGCGCCCTAAAGAAAAGAAGCCTTTAAAGCAGTAGCACCGAGCGTTCCACTTCCGCCAGAACCAATTTTAACACACTGGAGCACGTGGCTGTGTGCAGCGAGTTACACCGAACACTTAGAAAGTTAGAATGTCGTGAATACATTTGATCCCAAAAGTGCAGCATCAATTCAAATTTACCAAGGTGTACTAAAAACGCAGAACTAGAAACTAATCTTTCCTATACATCTGCCCACTTCTCTCATCTTCATCGGCCATTTCCTCACTGGAGGCAAGCAATAGCAATACTACTTTGTATTAGTCGTTAAGTGTGTTCAAAACCACTGTTTCCAAATTGAATTCGGTTCCTGGAAGAGTTGGTGAAGTAGTAAAGGAAAAAGCACACAGCATTCTTTTAAAAAAATGATCAAATTTGTGAAATTGAAGAAATTTTAACCGTTAAAAGTACTGAACTGCCAAGTAAAAAATCATTAACAGCGGAGCAAATAGCGGCTTTTGTACGTGCGCCCCTAAGTTCATGTGAGGTGGAAAGAAGTTTTTCCCGCTATAAGGACATCTTACGAGACAACAGGAAGCGACTAACTATGGAAAACCTAAAACATTTAGTAATTGTGAACTGCAACAGAAGAGAAGTTGAAAGCTCGGAGAGCTAAATGTGAGTACCATTGTTTTTTAAATTTGTAANTGTAAAATCAATTTTAATATTTGGTATAAAATTTATGTGCATATTTCGGAAGTTTTTCATGCATAAATGCATACATATTTAAGGGATTATTAGGGCATAAAAATCCGGTCCCTAGATATAAGCGAAGCGACTTTTTAAACCGTGAGAAAAGTATGGGTTTCGTAGCGAAAATATTTCATTTCTCAGTTAGAAGCACACAATAACCAACACTGATATATACGTTCTATCGCTTTACCAGAGCGTCTAAACCCGTAACACAGAAATATTTTGGCTGTTGTCTCAGCCATTTCCGCACCTCTGTTTCAACCTCTTTGTCATTAGCGAAACGTTGAATTTCTCGACCCAGTTGTGAACCGCTTGAAGCGACGAACACTTCCCACCGTAAACAGGAAACATTTCTTTCTTAATATCCTTTGCATTGAGTACTTATGCACATAAAAAACGAACAACAGAACGCCGCTCTTCGGCTTTAAACTCCTAAAGCACGGTTTGTCATTTCGACTACTGAAACCAGCCTTTGAACATGCGCATGCGCTGCTCTTCGGCTTTACACTCTTAGAGCACGGTTTGCCATTTCGACTACTGAAACCAGCCTTAGAACATGAGCATACGCGTCTGTTACCTAGACTGTCATGAAGGTGGACTCTGTTGCTACGTAGTGATACACATAGAAAACCTATTACGTCCATTACATGTATTTTACTTCCACTTGTGAGCTATTAACCGACGCTCCCTCATACATTAAGAGAGTTTTATGTACTTTAGTCAGCAGTACTGACCTCTGCAAACCAGTCCACACAATTCATTAAGACTTCCATTAGAAATCTATGTATGGAAATGTGCTACAGAAGCATAGGTGAAAACCTAATAAGTAATGACGTGATTGCATCTGTTGTGAAGGCAGGCTAACTGTTCCAACCTGCAGAGGTGGAGGCAGAACTTACTGTTAATGCTTCCTGAGGTCAAGAGGTTCAAAACAGGTGGGGGGGGGAGCTCCAACTAGTCCACTATGGCAACCAGTTGCCGAAATATACCCAAGTATGAGTCATCGAGCGAGTTGCCCCGGTGAGTATCGGTATCAAATCCTACTCACTGTCTACAGTCAAACGGAACGTGAAGACCTACACACAGCGGACTCTCAGACAGAACGTGATATCCCTCAGCCCATCCACAGAAATCTGCCACCAAATGGCATGGCGAAACCGACGGTTGTTTCCAGATTTACAGTTCACGATTCTACCTAGTACACAGGCCAATCACAGTTACAGCAACCTGCGTGAGAAAGGTGGAAGGCAACAGGCAAAGTCTCTGTGCTAAATTGCTTCAGTACCACGCCATGTAGACGTATAAGGGAGTGGAGGTATAGTTCCATTATTTCTGACCTCGGCACTAGATGGAGGTGAGTAGTCAGCTTCACTTCCCAGCCGCTATGCCCGCGGGGAAAATGCCCCCGGTACCCACTGGGCAGGAGGCTGGGTGAGCCCCAGAACCGGTCTGGACGCTGTGGAGTACAGAAAAATCTCTCGCTCCTGTAGGGAATCAAACCCTGACCGTTCTGCCCGCATACCGACTGAGATCTCCCGTGGAAACACCATTACTTATACAAAAATCTATGATTCTACACTATATCCCACAATGAAAATGTTTCCATACACCATTCCAGATTATATACAAGGACTGATCGGTGCTGACGTTTTCCTAAAATTAAGCAAAATACGAAGAACACATTTCACCCCACTACGTCATAACAGGATCTAGAAATGTCACGATTATCCTGACCACAGGCCCGATAAATAAACCTTGGTATAATATAACAAGGGGGACACACGGTAGCATACTTGATTTAGGCACTACGATACAAGCCTGAAGGTCGCGGGGTCGATTCCTGGTGAGGTCAATGGATTTTTTTCAATTGACCTAATCCTTCCAGCCTCTATGGCCCTGGCATCGACTCAGTCTCCAACAAAAATTAGTATCAGGAATCTTCCTGGGGTTAAAGGGTGGGTGGCGCGTAAGGCTGACAACCTCACCGTCGTCTGTCTATGAATGTGGGAGCCTCGACGTCTCACAACTCTGTGGGCCTCCACAGCCCGTTACAGGATTAGCTTTGCCTTTTTTTTTTTATGTCACAAGTAGTCAATATCCATCATCACTCTCTATGTCCTCAAAACGTATTCCTCTCGGCTAAATGGCTTCGCATTTTCTTACCTTCCTAGCTTCCCTAACGAGAGCTGCGTCTGTCCCGGTTCCCGCGAGGAAATCTTTAAGCGCTACTCAAAGGACGTTCTTGATGCTTATCGAAGACTGGAAAAACTGAAGGATTTACGCGTTACATACCTTGCAAATGGGAATTTTATTAAGCAATGAACGCTTACAAATACGCCTACAATTTTGTACTAAACTTTATGTTGGAAACTGCACAGGCGGTGCTGATACGAACAACTGATATTAAGACACTTTTCAGGAAGTTTGCTGGAATTTTTAACAGCATAAACCACAATTTGTAAGTATATAATTACTGACATATAGCGTAAGTTGAGCCCGGGCCTGCCTACCTATTCAGGCGAATATTTAAATGACATTGGGTGTCGAAAGTTCATTCAAGAGCTTACTGCTATTAACACGATTCGTGTTAATACAAACTGCATGAACAGGTAAGCAATATATTACGTGCATACACGCGCATGCACACACACGAACAAGGTCTTGAAAAGATTCGCTACACCCGTATTAGGCTGGCCTGTGGTTAACGATACTAAGGGCCACGTGAAATTTGTTCTCTGACATTCATCCGGGAAGCTCTAAGTTACAATATCTTAAAAAGGAGACGCAACATTAGGCAGAGGACGAGGAATACTTATGCAATGTTCCGTCACTGCCACAAGCAGCCCCAGCACCTGCATATATCTATATAATTTATTGCGCTGAGGGAGGACCGCGATCTATTCTCATAAAACTGGAATCACGAACCAGGTTATAAAGGAAAATGGTACTTTTGTCCGTAAAGACTGAACGTGAACATGTGTCTGAAATTCATAATATGGGGATTCACAAAGAAACAGTTATATAACGTTTTCTACTTAAACTACATCCCCTAAACTCATGGTAACAGGTCTAAATGGGTAAAGAGATAGTGCAAATAATTACTACGGTGTTATAAAAACATAAAAAAAAACAATGCATACTCTAGGAAACACACTAATACACTGATATTATTCGGATGAATAACTGAATGTTAAAAAATAATATGCAAATAATCTACGAACGTTATATAACGGTTTAGAGTTTAGTTCAGAAGCAAACTCATCCACTCAGCAGCTGAAAAACTGTATTTACTCTTTCTTCTTTTTGTTTTCAACACAATCTCCCAAATCAATAGACATCACATGACGTATTTGGAAAGTTCAACAAAATCATACGTATTACTGCACGTGAGTTCCATTCAAACTCCAGGTGTCTGTACTATGACATGTGACGGCACGTTTTTCGTGTTTTGAATGAAAACAGACTGTGTTTAAAAACATACACAAACACACGTACACCATGCCACCATGCACAACCATCTGTGGTCTGTGTAAGCTCAGCTGGTCACTGGATTTAATGCTACATCAACATACAGTGTTAGAAGCAATTATCTGTTAAGAACAAGATGATTTTAACTGAAATATTCTGAGCTTTCATGACTGTATACGGGATAAAAATTAGCAGCATGCTGAAACACCGATAACTACCACACAATTTATCAAAAAGTTGCTAAACACGTCTTGACCCAAAGTTACGAGTGAAAAGTTCTGCAATTTCGTACGTCGCAGCCGAACCTACCTGGGAGGAGTGTGGTGTCTTGACAACGTAGTGTTTTGATCGCTTTACTCCGTTCGAAGATGTTCTCTTGTACAACACAAACTTGCTTCTCCTACGTCCCCGGTCACCGGGTGGCAGGAATCCATTGTAACTGCAACATTCAAGGAAATACACAAGTCAGCACAAACACAATATATAAATACCGCGAAGATAAAGTCTATCTATAAATAACACGTTTTATTCTCCTAAATCATAATTTCTCAAACTGTCGCCTCTGTGGTCTATTGGTCAGTGTTCCTGCTTACAGATCCAGAGACGGCCGCGCCAGAGCTCAAGCGGTTAGTCGCTGGCTTCCCACCGCGGCGGCCTGGTCAAGTGGGATTTGTGGTGGACAAAGTGGCGCTGGGGTAGGTTTTCTCCGAGTACTTCGGTTTCCCCTGTCAATCTTCATTCCACCAATTGCTCCACAATCACCTTCACCTACCATCTGGGGCTGGTACAATAGGCCAGAAGTGGCCGCAGTACAAGGTACTTAGTCCCACCCCACTAGCAATAAAAAATACAGATCCAGAGGTCCCAGGTTCGATTCCCGGCGCTACCAGACTTTCTGAGAAGTAGTGGGTCTGGAACGGAGACCACTCAGCCTCGTGATAACTTAGGAGCTATTTCAAGGAAATAGCGGCTCCGGTCTAGAAAACCTAGATTAACGGCCGCGGGGATCCGCTGCGCTGACCATGTGACACCCTCTATCCGCAAAAGTTGGCATTAACTTCGCCGACAAGCAGCTATCGCTCTGTCGGTACAGTTCGCTTGCGGACTATAGGCCACGGAGTTTGCTTTTGGTACCAGCAATCCTTAGGGACCATACGTTGTCGTTTACCACAGACACATCGAAAATGGTTATCCGCTGGTATTTTTATTCAGAATCGACTCGGAACAAGTTTGTGCGACAGTCACACAGGCGATTATAGTTTACTGAATTTATACGAGCGTTAAAAATTAAGTTGTGAACTTTTAAAGTCTTTTTCTTTGGGCCAGACATCTGTGAACGTTTCAGGGTGTACGAAGCATAAGAACTCCCACTACCGTTGTCCTACGTCAAAGATTACGGAAGAGTTCTATCTTCTGGGATACAACGCCGTGTAGTCTGTTGAAAATCAACTGACATTTCGGAGAAACATGTCGCCTCCATCTTCAGTGTCGAAGAATGAGCCAAGCAAGAAGCAAGCATAGCTACGACTAGGCGCTAATCACAGAAGACAGAACTCTTCATATTCGCCGATGTGAGAACATCAAATCCTTTCTGAAAAAGTAATGTTTATGAATTACAGTTATTATTTACTGCCACTAAAGTGGTAATCTAAGATCTAAACTTCCGGGGTTTTATTTCGCCGGGGACTGGGATTCCAGTCCCCGGCAACATACATTACAGTACCCTCTCGCAGGTATTGGAGCAGTTTTACGAGGGCTAAGGTGACCAAAGCATGAAGCTGACTATTAATCTCTACATCTCGTTAAATAAACCACAAAATAAATAAATTTAGAGTAAAGTTCATATTTTACAATGAACGCCCCGGCACTGAAAGAATTCGCATGAAAAAATCAGGAAACTCAAGACATTATGAAATCAGAAGCCCTACGGTGTCACTGACTCAGGTTTCTAAGAGACATGAGCATATCCGTTGCATGTTAGGTCAATCGCATCATTTTCTCACTAATAATTACGTAGCAGATAGACACATTTTGTCAGGAAAATATTGTATCACTTGCACCACGACAAAAGCTGAGATAGAGTTTTCTTTATTGCTAGTGGGGTGGGACAAAGTCATTTGTACTGCGGCCACTTCTGGCTTATTGTACCAGCCCCAGATGATAGGTGAAGGTGATTGTGGAGCAATTGGTGGAATGAAGATTGACAGGAGAAACCGAAGTACTCGGAGAAAACCTGCACCAGTGCCACTTTGTCCACCACAAATCCCACTTGTTCAGCCACGGGATCGAACCCGGGCCGCCGCCTTGGGAAGCCAGCAACTAACCGCTTGAACTAGGGCGCGTCCTGAAATATATTTATTAAGGCAGACATAATCTTCATTACATATTCTTGTCAAATCGATAAGGATAAGGCAAACTTCATGTTTGGAGGAAAGGTCATTCATTAGGCTGATTTATGATGGAAACAATGACCTACGAACTTTCGTCCCGTCAAGATACAAAATTATTAGAGCGACAAAAGCTTCCCTTTAAAGACTAATTGCTCCTGAGGGAATCAAGAATCAAGGTGTGCTAATCGCCTTTTGCCTGAAACATAAAGGCAGCCAAGAGCTGCAACTGCTTATATATAGCGAACAGATCCCACGTGATCCCACATATATCTATAGATATACTGGCATATACTTNGTCACTCACTGAACCTGTGGCCCGCCACTTTTTCAGAAGCCTGTTTACACACGACTTTGTGGGAACTGGCGAGTCAGGATATTTCTGACGAAACCTACGTGCGAATTTTCTGTAAATGTTTTTCCTTGCAATAGTTTCGACAATAAACACACGCTGTTTAATAGTGAACTTCATTTCCACCGTCTGTCGACAGCTGTAAACATTCCACTCCACTTCCACAGCAAGACAAAGACTGACTGTTTAATGCAACCTCGGGTTCCGATTATGCAACCATCGGCGTAGGAGCACTGCAGTCGCGGGGAGGAGTTGCATCCGTTCTGCGGTGGTATGACTCACGGCAAATTGCAGCCGCGGCGCGCACTTGATTGTACGCACTGTATATAGCGAACAGATCCCACGTGATCCCACGTATATCTATACATATACTCGTACTGGTTTATACTTGCTTAAATGTATATACGCCGAGACATNCGCGGTGCATGGGGAAATCCACCCTCTCTAAAATAACTAACTAATAACTACTTGCTTAAATGTATATACGCCGGGACAGCAACTAACAAACTGTCAATCTTGATACACTGCAGTCTTCTGGGTTGTAATGGCGTCTCTTTCAATACTATACATCACAAAATCCTTCAGTGTGCATTAATCGACTGTGTTCATTACAACATCCGAAAGAGACATGACAAGGAAAAAGAAAAGGTAACGTTATCCCTGCAACAGGCCGTGAAGACCCATAGGGCTGTGAGACGTCGAGGCTCCCACATTTTCTCTAGACAATCGGCTCACAAATGGCGTTAAGGTTGTCAGCCTTATGCTCCGGCCTCTCTTTACCTCCAGGAAGATTTCTGGTACTCATCTGTTAGAGGGTGAGTCGACCTGAGGGCCATATTGCGGCTGGAAGGACTAGGTAAACTGAAAAATTCCACCTAATCAGGACTCGAACCAGCGACTTTCCGGCTTGTAGCATAGTGCCTCAACCAATTAGGCTACCGCATGCCCCCGAGATATGATAAGGACTACGAATAATTAATTTGTCTGAAGGAAAGATAGGTCTTGGTCTATTTGGTTGAAATCTTGCGGAATGCATATGAAGAGAGTATATTACGGATGCTTTACCAAAATCTGCAAGGGATAAGTTTGTATGCGATGTTCCTGTGTGCACTGGACACAAAACACCCAACGACTCGAAGGAAACATACAAATTCGAGTGAGAATTGGGCATCTAAAAGAATATTTGATGAATCTTCTTAGGCTTAATGATTACAGCGTGACTACCTTTTTCGCGTATTTTTTTTCTGATTACATTTCGTCTGATAAATTTATTATAGCGCCTGGTTACTCGCTGGACAACCGGGGGCGTTGGAGTTTGAGGTCATGAATTATCTCTTCTCCATGTTATCCAGACCGGCTCTGGGGTCTACCCAACTCACTGTCCAATGGGTACCGGGGGCGATTTTCCCCAAGGATAAAGCTGCCGGGGCATGAAGCTGACCACTCACCTCCGACTAGTCAAGAAAATGTGAATCTATACATCCACCCCCCTACACGCTTTCATGGCGTAGTGCTTAATTAGTTGAGCTCAGGGACAGCTTTACCTTACCCTTTTTTGATATTTATTTCTGTGTCGACTGGGGAATAAAGAATGTGGATTTGAGTTTGGTCTGGACAATTTCTCACATTTCTCTACATAAATGAAATTCAATTGAACATGTTAAGCGAAGTGCTCGGCCATACACGTGAGCATAACCAAATCGGTAAATCACGAGAACACCGACGTACTGTAATTTCTCCGTGAGATAAGACAATGGTACAGCACGCAGCTAGTGCTCTGTTATCTGCTGTCACCTGGTATTAGACGAGTTTACAATGAATCTCATGTAGACGCGTCCACAGGCACAAAACTAAATCACAACCCGACCATGATCTAATTATCCTTTTCATCAGCACTAGGCGCTGGTCGCCTCGAAAAAGCACTGGCCGAGAATGACGTCAGCGATCTCTATCTCTTTTAACACCCACTGGCCGACGGTCACTTGCTGACCAGGAGAGCTGCCAGTTGTATGGTTTAGGTGCGGCTCCGTTAGGGCGAGGGCACACTAAGGAAACTGGCAACCGCAACGCAACCGCAATTTCCGAGAATTGTTATCAGTCTGAGTTGAACACATGTTACTGAATGGAGCAGCGCAAACTTAGGAGACGGCAACGCAGTTGTGCCCTCACCCTTACGGTCCAGTGCTTCTGGTTCTGTTTGCACCTTCGACGACTGAAGATGAAACCAAGATCTACTAACATCGGGGTCACACGAAGGCGGAGCCAAGGGTCAATAAGTTGCGGCTGCAATGTCGGAAGTGACATGATCTACACGTATACAGAGAACAGAAGGTGTCACAAGCTGTCAACACAATCGTTACACTGCGGATGCTCATCATAAAAGGTGTGGACATTATTTTTATATATATCACTAACGGAAGACCGCCCCTGTGGTCTAGTGGTCAGAGTTCCTGGCTACAGATCAGAGGTCCGGGTCCGATTCCCGGGGCTATCAGATTTTCTGAGTAGTGGGCCTGGAACGGAGTCCACTCAGCCTCGTGTGGATAACTGTGGAGCTATTTCAAGGAAATAGCGGCTCCGGTCTAGAAAACCGAAATTAACGGTCGTGGGGATTCGTTACGCTGACCACGCGACACCCTTTTTCCGCTAAAGTTGGCATTAACTCGGTCGGTATAGTTCGCTTGCGGACTAATACCACGG